AAGTTGCAGTGGGGGAGGTATAGGTTGGATATTAGGAAAAAACTATTTCACTAGGAGGGTGGTCAAGCACTGGAATGGGTTACCTAGGGAGGTGGTGGAATCTCCATCCTTAGCGGTTTTTAAGGCCTGGCTTGACAAAGCCCTGGCTGGGATGATTTAGTTGGGGATGGTCCTGCTTTGAGCAGGGGATTGGACTAGATGACCTCTCTTCCAACCCTATTCTTCTATGATTCTATGAAACTCACTCAGTAGAGCCCCACCCAGACAGCCACCAGAATGGGCTCATTTAGTTCGGAGGGCTGCACTTCCAGTGCCCATTTCCTGGCACCTTGGCTGTGAGCCCCACAGCTGTCAGCACTGCACTCTCTGCAGCCCACGCTGACCTGACCAGCTGCTCGCTAGCTGGTTGCAGTCCCATCAGCAGAAGGGAGGGGAGACTTCCCTGGCACTCACCAGCACAGGCAGGCGATCCGTAGAGCCACACCTCCCAACCAGTCCCACCCACCTTTAGGCTCAGAGCAAGCAGGGCTAGTTTGCAAAGGTTTCAAATCCTGCATTCTTTATGGGAATGTAGGTGACTCAATTTGTCTCCTATACGCAGGGGAGGGGCTCAGCCCTAGCACCTCCCCTACCTTATACCAGGGTTCACTCTTCAGGGAGTGCAGCCCATGACTGGGAGAGAGAGCGGAGGGAGAGGAGTAGCTGAGGATCCAGCTTTCGGGCAGGGACTGGCCACAAGCATCCTACTCCCAAGAGGGGTGGGTAGAAAGCAGCCAGCAGCAGAACTCCAGTGGGGCAGTGGCGGTTGGGGAAGAAGGGGTGTTGTAAATTCTTGAGCACCAAGTAATTTTATCCCCTAAAATACTAAAAATGTAGAATGCAGCTAAACAAGAAAAGGTAGGGGCCAGATCTGATTGGCTATCTCAATGCCCACTCAAGGAGGTGATGCCCTCTACCGTAGGCACATGGGGTTCTTCGCAGGCGTTAGGGGAGGCACTGCGTGATGAAAGACAAGCAATATACTCCCAAGGATTAACTGCCAATCTCCTGTAACTAAGGAAAGGAAAGGAAGAAAAAGATAAACAAACCTCAACCCAGACAGAACACAAGCAATCAGAAAACAAAGGTTTCTTCAGTTACACGTTCCTCTTGTGTCTCTCTCGGAGAGCTGTCCTCAGAGATTACACCTTGAAGAGTGGGCCTGGTCTGTAGGATGCTCTCCTCTGTGTAAGTTAGGACCAGAGTGCATTATTCCCCAACTCAGCAATGAGTCCTGACTCAGAGATGGGCACAGGGGCTTTGTCTAAGGGTCAGTGAATCCTGCTTGGTTTATCATGGATAATCTAAACAGTCGATAAATAGGCAGAGGTGAGTGACCTGAACTAAATCCTATGAAATTGGACAAAGTTAATAAAAGAACCAATTCAAAGAGCAGTGTGGAGACAGGCAAATTAATAAATATTAAGAACTTTAAATTTAAATTAAATCTGTTTACCGAGGTTAGCTGCTGTCTTCTCTCCCGGTGTATGCGGACTGAACAATCTGATGTTTAACAGGAGAAGCTTTTAGTATCTTAAACTACCATAGTATTTCCATATTCCATTAGAATTATTGCAAGAACAATTTAAACTGGCAGTGCTTTTGCAAACTCCATTTCACCAATAGTGCTGAGGTCTCTGAGATATCACCGCGTGCAGAAGCCGTGCTGGACTGAAAGTTACCTCTTGGTGCTGTGTTGTAGCTTCTTTGTTCTTCTTGGTTGTCTTGCTGCTCTTTGTTTGCTTCTTGAGGTGTTGGCTTGGAGGTTTGATGAGAATACATTAACAGGCTGAGTTTGTGTGAGAATGAACATAAAAGCTCAAGAGAGTGTAAGTGTGTGTAAGAGCATAAAACCATAATCAGAGAGGGAGTCTCTCACTTCAGAGGAATTATACTCCTCTCTTGCCATGATCTGACTGGAGCTGGACAGCACATCTCTTTCAAGGGCTTGACTGGACTCAAGTATCAGCCACTGTCACCTTTCATTGGCTCAACCCCTTCATGGGCTGATCTTGGTAGTATCTTCCATTCTCAGGTATGCATGTGCAGCAGGGCTGTAACTCTTTTATTCGTTCCATTTTCTGAGCTATCCCACTAGTTCCATCGGGTTTTAATAGGAGTTTAAATTCTGTTTCAAATGAATACAGACACTGCTATTTCCTATATTTCAGCCCTTAACATCGTTTTAAAAACAAATTATTCTTAAAGAATCTTTAAACTTAAATGGGGATCAAATAAAACACTGTCTTTTCTTCTTAACTGTCCGTGGAGAAGTTCTTCTTGTCTTCCTGAATTTGATAAGGAGTTGCTTAAGCCCTGGCAGATAACTAATTAATTTCCTAATGAATATAAATAATTTTATACTCAAGTGGCTTCTTATATTAGTTCTCAGTTCTAGCAAGGTCATTTGATTCCATATTTGTACAGAAAACATCTCAATATTCATATAACAATGGTATCAGGCAGTTCTTGTATGGAGTGATTGAATTTAAATACAAAACATTTGCAAATGAACATCTCAAACAAAGCTTATATCATCTTAAGTATTTGAAAGACAACTCAAAGGTTCACCTTGAAGAGAAAACATGAGTTAGAAGGAATCAGTCTTCTGTAAAACATTTCCCAACCATAAATGTTCTTAAAGTTTGAAGAATGAAGGCTTTAGAAAACGTATAAAAGAAATCCGTTTCAGTGAGGATATTTCTAGAATTCTTTGTGTGGGTTTAAAACTAAAGGTTTTTCTCTTTGCAAAGAGGAAGGGTGAATAGGGTGCTTTTATGACTTTGTTTATGACTCTGGTAGCACATCTTAAGCATCACTCGTCTTTGTAATATCCTGAATAAACCAAATCTCTTTATAACTTGTTTTTTTTAGATAAAGTACACGTGTATGCCAGCCTTGTGTTTTTCACAAGGAGAGGTGTCTTATCCTCAGAGAAGACTCTCTTTGTTAGTTGTTTGTCTTTTGACCAATTGTTCCTAGATTTGCAGCCTGCGATTTATAGGTAGAGCCCTGTGCGGATACAGAAATGTGTATCCGCATCCGATCCGCTAACCGCAAAAATTATCTGTGGATATTCGCATCCGCAGATTTGCAGGGTTCTACACTGAGGGCCAGGCTGAGGCTCTGAGGCATCCCCCCAGCCGGAGCCCAGTCCGGGAGAGCCACGGTGCAGCTGTGGGGGACCCCCACCTTTCCTGGGTGGGGGGCCCAAGCAGCCCCTCGCCAAGTGTCCCAGCCCCCCCACCTAGTGTCCCTGCCCCCCAACCCCCCGCCCAATGTCCCCGCCCCCCCCCCCCACCCCCCCCCCCCCCCCCCCCCCCCACGCAGGGCCGGGGGGGGGCCCGGGCCCCCCCCCGCCGGCCCGGGGGGGGCCCCCGGCCCGGCCGGGGGGGGGGGGGGGGGCAGCTCAGAGCCCGAGCAGCCTCCGGCCCGTGTTCCTGCCCCCCCGGTCCACCGCCCAGGGCAGGTGGAGGATCCGTGTCAGAGCCCTACTTTGTATCCACATCCGCGCTGCTATCTGTAGTAATGGTCTGTGGATATCCACAGATATAAAGTGGATACCTGCGGATTTGCAGGGCTCTATTTATAGGACATTTACAATTTGCAATTAAAGATTCCTATGAAAGGCACAAATCCAATAACTATCATGTAAGTACCTCTTTCCAACCTGGCTAGGATGTTGTCTCTTTCTGTTTGTCTGTCTGGTCTATTCAGATTGTAATCTCTTTGGGGCAGGGACAGTCTGCTTCCCTGTGTGTCCTGTGCACAGCACAAAGGAGTCCTGACCTCACTCCATGTGCTCCCAGAATATAAACAGTGACTCATTTCTAATAGCACAGCAACTCAGAACTGCAGGTTTCTCTCTCCCAACACCCCTCCCTCACTCCCAGGGCATTATGCAGTCCCAGTTTAGGTGCCACTTTGAGTTCTGTGGCAGCTCATACCATCAGCCTGACAGGGTAATGGCAGAGCTCTAATAGCCCTGCAGCTGCCTGACTGACATTCAGTCCCCCAGGAGCCCTCCAGTGAGTCACAGCCCAGGGGAACAGCCATTAGTAGTAGAAATGGCTGTTTCTACAAACACCTTCTGGAGCAATCATCCCGGAGTGTGGTGGAGCCAGGAGCAGATGCTGAGGGCTATGTACATGGATTCCTCCCTCACTTGAGACAGGATCAGTGTACTCTATCCCCATTTCTCAGGCTCTATGCAACAGGCAGCTGCAGACATCCGTCCCTTAGGGAGACATTCGGATTTGGGCATGGACCCAAGCTACATGCTCTGAAAACGAGGATCCCGGATGTATGAGCCCCTGAAAACTGAGGGTGCAGAAGTCCTTTGCACTCATTATTTGTTGTCAGGACTGGTTTCTGCTTTATGCTTAGTGTCGGCTTTTCAAGGAGCAGATGCAGTATCCAGCCCCAAGCAGCCACAAGTCAGGCCTCAGAAAATCAGGGGATGGGCTTTCAAATCATGCAGTTTTAAAATATAATCAGCGTTGGATTGTTGTCCTTTGCCTCTAGTTTTTGGGGTGCTGGTTTGCAGAACAGAAGTGGAACTAGTATCTGCCACATGGAGGGACTAAGTGGGCTGTTGGGAATTGATTCAAGTTCTAGGGCGTCTCCCTTAGACCTTTCTACAGCCGTCTAACTCTGCTGACTTCAGTCTGCCCTGGAGCAGTGAGAGGAGGCCTGGGCCCAGAGGCTAGACACACTACTGGGTTGTGGGTTGGCACTGCCCCATCCAATTCTATCGAGTCAGGCCCATGCCTGTTTAGAGGTCTGTTCAGTTCAGGCACTTCTGGGGTAAGACGGCACATAGGGAAGGCAAGTATCTTGTTACAGGGTTCTGAGAGTTTACCTTTATGATAAATAAAGTGACCAAGAACCATTGAAAGTCTGTATTTAAGTATTTGCTGCCTAGAGCAGCCCTTCTAACCTCCTCTGTGTGTTCCTTACAGCGAATGGATATCACACCCCTGTGACGCCCATGCATCAAATGGAGCCTGGTCATATGAGTCTCCGGAAACCCAGCGGGGACCCCCAGGTAGGTTTTGGGGAACATTCTGAGCAGGAGTGTAAAGGAGTAGGGTAGTTTGTGAGCCCTCCAGTGACACTCACAGTAAGCATGCTTTAGAAGCTGCCAGAACCCAGTCAGAGCAGCAGTGTGTATGTAGCTGGGCCAGGCATGTTTGTCTATAGGCAGGAAACAGTGGAACCCCACTGTACCGTGTACTGTGAAAAAACTCATACAGATACAGACAGACATCATCTTCCTTTCCAAATGCAAACAGATGGACATCATACCAAAAGGACTAAAGGTAAACAGCTGCTACTCTGAAAACTGTATCGTGTGGTTTCCTCATGTTTCCACCACCTCCCCTGCTAAGCTGTTCCAATGTTTAATCACTGCTAGGAAATTGCATCTTATTTCAAGGCTGAATTTGTCAAACTTCCATTTCCAGCCATTGAATCTTGTTAGGTCTTGGTCATCAAGGCTGAAAACACCCTGCTCTCAGATCTCTGTTCCATGATGTGTTAGTGCCTAGACACAGTGATCATGTCATCTCTCAACCTCTCTTCAATAAGCTGAGTAAATGGAGCTCCTTGAGCCTCACATAGAAAATCTTGTTTCCCAGCTCCTGGATCATTTAGTGGCCCTCCTTTAACCTTACTCCAGAACTTCCAATCCTTCCTGCAGTGTGGACACCAGAACTGGACACAGTATCCTAGTAGTGGTCCTACCAATGGTCTGTCCACAAGCAAGATTATTTTCCTTTAATATTCCCCTTTTCATACATTAGCCCTTTTTGCAACAGCATTGCACTGAGAGCTCATGTTGAGGTGATTGTTTGCAGTGACCTCTAAGTCTAAGTTGTTACAACACACAGCACAAGGCCCTGCTCTGGATCAGGGCCTGTGGGCATTACTAGAATAGAGAATTAGTTGAATTCTCCAAAGTGACACATCCCCCCCAGGATCAGTTCAGTACTGCAGGAATTCAGAGCTTGGCCTTGTGGGCAGTACCATGGGGCGCAGCAGGTTCAGTGGCTCTGGGGGGCTGCATGGGTACAGTGCTTCAGTGGATGGGCACAGTGCTCAGTGGCTGGACGTAGAGGGTACAGTGGCAGTGGTGGCACAGCCAGGAAGGGGCCCAGGGCTCAGTGGTGGGGGGTTAGGGGTGCAGTGGAGGGGTGCAGGGGCTTAGTGGAGGGGCGCAGCAGGGAATGGGCACCAGGGCTCAGTGGAGGAGGGTGGTGGCTCAGGGGTTCCTTGGTGCCCAAGGCTGCTCCTCAGCTCCTGCCCGGCCTCCCCCTCGTCCCCACATCGCTCCCCTGCCCACTGCCCCACCTGTCTCGGCCAGACACTGACACCTTTCAGTGATTCACTGCGCAGCTCGGGCCAAGCACACTCGCACACCCTCCCGCCATGGAGTGCATGCTGATGATGCCTCTTTCCTCTCTCTGCAGAGTCCGGGGTCCCCGCGTGTGCCCAGGAGGCTGGCCAGGGAGAGCTCGCGGACGGTAAGTACAGCCGGGACAGCCAGCAGCGCTGCAGGCAGGGGGTGAGGCCTGGACAGTGATCCCTGCTGCTGTGCCGAGGGCCAGCAGTATGTGGGCCAGCTTCTGGGGCAGGGCAGATCAGCCTGGGATGGCAAAGAAAGCCCCTGGCGGGTGTGGTGACCCTGGGGCAACCAGTCAAACCAGAGGGCACATTTCTAAAGCTCTGTCTGGGGTCTCCCTGCTCTGTTTTTAAGGGGCACTGAAGAAAAAACTTTAACAAAACGGCCTGGGTCAAACATGTCAGGCCAGTTCTTAGCAAAGTGGCCACATCACAAAAATGGAATTGACACTAATTGCAATCCTGTGCGTACTGCCAACAGAGGCCCCGAGTCTCAATGAGCAATAGACATTGAACTGCTCGGAGCCCTAGCAGTGCTGCCTCCAGGCAGAGGTGAGGAACATTGGTAGCGAAGCCTGTTCTGCCTGTGTAGAACCTGTTCTGTGAATGAATGGAAATCTTCATTCTTCCGGGCTACCAGGCCAGCATCTTTCACTGGCACTGAAGGTCACACCCCGAAAAACAATACAAATCAAAGTGATACAATTTCACAAGAGATATCTGTGCCCTGAAATATCATCCATACCTATTGTGTGAGGACTTCTGCCAAGAGTGGCCTTCATTCTCTACCCTTTTTCTGCCATTATATATGCTTTTAAGCATGTACATGCACTGAATTCCCCAGACTTAGAAGAAAAAGAGTGATTCCGTTCTAGCACTGATAGAGCTGAAATTGACTCTTTCCTTTGCTTCCAAGTTTGTTGGTTTTGTCAGATAAAGTTAAGGCTCGCAATAATTGGATGCATCTTCTGCTGCTCTGGGATTTGGAAACTGATTAGTTAATCTGTATGTTACATGGTGGCAGAAAACTGTCTGAGATCCAAAACTCTTTTTCTAAATCTGTCTTCAATAAAAAATCTAGAAAAGAAGTTTGAGCAATTAGTAAGGAATGCTGACTCTGCAAAATAACTATTGCTAATAAACAGCTGGTAAGGAAGTACTTGGGAAATGTGAATACCTACTATACAAATCAGCTGTTCTGTGTGATGTGTCTAACAAGCTTACTGATCCACTACCATTTCTTTTTTAAAACTCAGGGACAATTCAGGAGGTAATGAAATACTGGAGAAATGGAAATTAAGCACCTTATTTTCAATGAAGAATGATTCTGCCAATTACCACCCTAGAAGTGGAACTTCTCTCTCTAGCTGAAAGAGAGTAATGCAAGGGCATTAATATCTGGAAACGCATCCAGTTTGGTGGAGATTTCTGGAAGAAAGTGCAGGGATTGCTAGTAGGATCAGTGTTAATTAACATCATTACTGAACCAGATTGAATAGTTTGCAACTTTGCATTACAGAAAAGGGTGTTATTAATCTCCCTAGATGAAACTTTGTGACCATATCTGGGCTTTAGTGTTCAGTTCTGGGCACCTCAATGCCAGAAAGATATATTTAAAAGTGGAAGGAATTCAGAGAAGAACACCACAACTGCTTGGGGCTGGATGGGATTTACTTAAGAGGAAAGATTAAAAGAACCAAGTGAGCTAAGCATTGACTAAGGGAGAGGGGAGGGAGCATGCTCATAACCTACAAATACTGGAAGGGTATAAAGCCCAAGGGAGGGAGAGGAATTATTTGAAGTCATACATTGTAGGGGCGTAACTAGGAGTAATGGGATGATCTTGGGAGAACAGTCTATTGAGCTGCCCTTCCGTCAATGAGGAGTGTTTTTGTGCCCATGTACAGATTTGTTACAGGCCATTTTGGTGGCCATTGGTGAGTCACTGAGGCTCGATGGGAGTTAATTCAGTTGTCTGAGTGCCCATATGATGCATCCCTCTGCTGTGGTAGCCCAGTCACCTCCATCAGTCCTCCCACTGCTGTCCCAGAGTGCATCAGTCACTGAAAAAGTGGCCAGTCTGGTCACCTTTCTGTCCAACAGTCACCTAGCAGTTTACATAGCCATGCATGCTGTGTGGAGCTCACTTGTAAGCCATTTCAGAGCAAGGAACCTCTTTGTCCTGCGCAGTGCTTCCCAAGGTCTGGTAAATGCCTGTGCCCCTGCTTGCACCACTGCTGAAGTCCTCACCTTCATCTGCCTGGGGCTGCTGGGCATGCCCATTGCCAACTGGGAACGTGGCACAGAGAAGCCAGGAGGTAGCCACTGTCCACACTGGGAGTCGAGCGCTCTGAGGGGGTGGCAGAAGGATTAGGACCAGATAGGGTGTATAAACACACCTAGGACAACAGTGAAACACCAGGAAATTCCCCCACAGTGTGTTCATTCTACTGTGAATTACACCTGGTCCTCTGCAAGTATCCCACCAGTCAGCCCTTCTTGGTGATCGACAGCCCTTACTGTTAACAAATTGCACTTTAGTTCCTGTCTCAATTTGTCATTAAACCCATACCATAATATACAGGTGATAATTTTGAAGCCCTTCAAATTTCTCTGGTATTTAAGCAGTACTGTGGGCTCTTATGCCACTTTAACCAAAGATACAAACAGTGCTAAAATCTTTAGTTTACAAGCCAATTCAAGGCTTCTTCCTCTTGTTGTCTATGAACTGTCAATTCTCTTGTCAACAAAGTCTGTGTGATTTAGGCTGAGCTCTTTGAAACACTCAGGGTTTCATCTTACAAATTGTACAACTCTTAGTATAATGAGTTTCTCCAGCCTCCACATTCTCAACTGAGTTAGTGATTAGACATGATTTCTAGACAACTAAGACAAACGATGAGTGAAATACAAGTAGATGTCATACATTTTAGTCATTCAGAGGGTTTTAACTCAGGTACGTGCTTTCTAGGAAGCATTTAGTTTAACATAACCATGTTGTCAGTTGATGAAACAATATATGTATAACTAGGCTTGGCAGACTTTGGTTTTTTATATATTTTTGACAGATTATAGAATCATAGAATATCAGGGTTGGAAGGGACCTCAGGAGGTCATCTAGTCCAACCCCCTGCTAAATCCCCAACTAAATCATCCCAGCGAGGGCTTTGCCAAACCTGACCTTAAAAACCTCTAAGGAAGGAGATTCCACCACCTCTCTAGGTAACCTATTCATATGTACGGTGAAATGGACATTTACTAATACAAATCTAATCCTTCCAAGACTGTATATAAGTCATTTTGCTACTTATCAGTTGGAACTGGCCTGAAGCTGCCTTCTCCAGCTCATCTGCACAGTTGCAACGACTGGTTCCTTGAGTTAGCTAGAGAGTTCATTCATTCAGGTAATTCACTCAGGGTGTTGTGATACCAAGTTCTTGTCTCTTCCAGATTTTGCAGCAGTCTCCCTAGATCAGTGGTCCCCAACGCGGTGCCCGCGGGTGCCATGGCGCCCGCCGGGGCATCTATGAACGCCCGCGTACTGGCCGGCGGAGAAGCATCCGCTGAAATGCCGCCAAGAAGCATCATCATCAAGAGGCATCGCCGCCGAAATGCCGCTGATTTTCTGCGGCTTTTTGGCGACGACGCCTCTTGATGACGCTGCTTCTCGGCAGCAACGCCTCTTGATGTTGCCGCTTCTCGGCATTTCGGCGGATACTTTTCCGCCGGCCACGGTCCTTGGTGGCTTGTCGTCCAGCGCCCGCCACACCGAAAAGGTTGGGGACCACTGCCCTAGATGGTACTTTAACCGATAGGGTTAATAGGTGCTTGTCAGTGATAGGCTTTAGTTGTTAACAGCAGGACATATGTTCACTGGGCTAGGTGATGAGTCTTTCTTGTCCAGCTGATTCTGGTGCATGGAGCATCGTGCTGAACAACACAGGGCATATTCTACGTGATGCAGCAAAGCACAGTCAAATAGCGACCCAGGCTCCTGCCAATGATTTGAAAAGTCCATCCAGGTTATAAGCTGTGTCACTTCTCATCATCATGATAATAAAATACTGATGGAATAGAATTGTAAGATACTAATACATCATCTTGCTTCTCTCCAAATACAGAACAAAAAAAAGTTGTGGAATACTTCTGCCTTTTGTGCATCGTGGTTGATAATTTTATGTCCTTATCCTATCATAATGGCACTATACCAGGGGTAGGCATCCTATGGCTCACGTGCCGAAGGCGGCACACGAGCTGATTTTCAGTGGCATTCACACTGCCCAGGTCCTGCACCGCTCCGGGGGGCTCTGTATTTTAATTTAATTTTAAATGACGCTTCTTAAATATTTTGAAACCTTATTTACTTTACTACAACAATAGTTTAGTTATATATTATAGGCTTATATAAAGAGACCTTCTAAAAAGGTTAAAATGTATTACTGGCACGCAAAACTTTAAATTACAGTGAATAAACGAAGATTCGGCACACTACTTCTGAAAGGTTGCTGACCCCTGCACTATACCATTGTTTGGATTTCATTTGTTTTTGACACATTTAAAGAATTGCTTCTTACTGGCCATAGATTTTTCATTGATATCTTTATCAGTAGTTTGCATTTCCTAACTGCTGATGAGTAGTCATTGCTACCAGCTTCCTCATTTTTCAGTTTTGTTTATTTATATTTTAATTGCTGTTTTAATTTCCCTCTGAACCAGAATGATTTTTTAACCAAAGAAGCCGTCTTATATCATTGTAGAGTTGTGGGGCTTGGGGGCATCTAACAGAGCATTTTTATGTCTGTTGCTGATATCGTGTGGATTATAAAGACCTGGCCTATTTGCAAGATTGGGAAAGTCATTCTCAGGGGTTGAAGACTGTGGGAGGTGCTTGTGAAAATACGGGTGGTCTAAAAGTCAGTTGCGACTGTGAAGAATTTGGAAACCGCTGCATTAGAGGATTGTTGCCTGAAGGACTGTGGAGAAAAGCTGGGTTTGGGAGATGGCAGATGGCTTGGGATACAGGACTCGGGAGCATGTTCCAGGGTTAAGGTGCAGTTTGGGGACAAGCATGGAGATACTTGTGGAAGGAGTGCACAAAGAGGGAGTCAGAACTGTCCAAGCA